AAGCAGCCAGAATCATCAAGCAGCTGGTAAAGACCTTCAAATAGATTTATTTGAGAGGCGTGGTTCACCAGAATCTCAAGCTAGACAACATTCTTTCCAAGCTAAACATGTGCGACAAAGTGGTGATCAGCACCTTTAGGAGATATCACAACAGCAAAGTACATGGCAGCTGAGGTGGTGGAGAACAAGGATTGGAGCTCTACATGGCAGCCTACTCTACTTTCTTACAGACAAAGCCATGAACTGTTTTAAAAAAAGCCATTTCTGAAGGAATAAGACAGCATTAAATAAACTGTTGTGTATGTACGTGTTTATAGACACAACTTTGAAGCCATGAGCTTGGTTTGATTTGGTACATGATATTTGTACATTAACTCAGGGCATAGAAATGATTTCCATGTTTGATTTTATTTAGTGTTTCGCTCTCTGTCGTAAAGGTATTAGGTAAAAAGCAAAAAAGTCTATATGTCATTCCAGAAGAGTTTTCTACAATATTAATCTTAAAATTAATATAAATCATAGTTGTAAATATTTCTTTGATAAATGTTTTAATAAATAGTTGGTATATTTGTGTTGTAAAAACATACTATATTTATATTACTCGAAACATTTATTAAATATTAATATATTTTTCTTTATATATTAATATGATATCTAATTAGATAGTATTAATTTTTATATTCTCTGAAATATAAGTATCAACAATGTATATTTTTAAATGTAAAACCAGACACATAATAAAAATTCTAATATTCTTTAGTAAACTATGAAAGTTAGAGGCATCAGATAAAAACAGTTTACCTCAATATGCAATCAAAATTATAATTTCCAAAAACTAACCTATTTTTTTTTTTAGTATATATAATTCTTTGGTTTTGTGAAAAGTCAATTGCTTTTCAAGTATGGCAGAAATTTTGTAGATGTGTTTAGGTTTGTGTACCTTTTTATATAGGCAATAAAAGAATTTAAATTAAAATTTAATGATGATTAAAAAATAATCTTATCTTCCCCAACACTTGCATTATTATCTAATTGCATTATTGTCCATTTATTTGGAGATTAATAGTAGTATAATTAAGATAAACTAAAAAAAATATGCCAAGAGAAAGCAATGAAAGAAATAGACTGAACAATTATAATTACAACTACATTTTTTCAAATTGAAAATATTCTCTACTACTCCCAGCGTAGCTGGGATCCTTGCTGACTAATTAGTTCTATAATGACTAGGTTGTTTATATAGAATGACTGTATATAAAGACAACAAGCCATTCTATACCAAAAATCCCTTTACCATGCCATCCCATTAACTGCTCTTACCTCTAGAATGCCCAAATAATATACCAAATTGAGGAATATGATTAAGCCACCTCTTCATGGGTTAAATAATTCTTTTAAGCTTTGAGTCCAAGCTTGTATTATTCTATTCCAGTAAACCATTTAAGAAATAGTGTTTTGTTGCAATCACTAAGTAAAAACTAAATAAACCAAGTGCTTGTTACATATTGAACTTAAGTAAGTTTTAATAAATTTTTTATTTTAGAATTAACGTCTAACTATCCCAGCGGAGCTGGGTTCCCTGCTAGTATACTCATATATTTAAACGAAAGAGCCTGTATAATAATAGCATATACTGGGGACACTTATTCTGGGCATATGCCAAAATCTAACGGCTGAGATTAAACAATGGAGAGCCGTGACTTTTGGGATCATAAAAAATTTCAATTGTCTTTTAGGGCGCGTGACCACGAGGAGAGAGCGTCAATCATCGCTTGCGAGAAGGCTCTCTCTCTCTCTCTCTCTCTCTCTCTCTCTCTCTCTCTCTCTCTCTCTCTCTCTCTCTCTCTCTCTCTCTCTCTCTCTCTCTCTCTCTGTGCCTCTGTGTGTGTGTGTGTTTGTTTGATGGAACTATTTAGAAGGCTACAGTCAGCTGCACATGATGCCACCAGTTGGTTCATTCTCGAGTTCAAAAGCTCACGCACCAGAAAATGACAATCATTTAACCGACGCTGATGCCGAAGCGTTCTTCAACAGGAGAATTATCCAGTTCATGAAGAAACAAGTCGCACTTATGGAAAAGGTACTCAACGCAGAATATCATCTGGTAAAAGAGTCTCGACCCCCCTATCGTCGTCCCTAAAAACCTCCTACCAAAAGCCGCAACCCACATTTGTTCCTTATCCAACACCTTTGAATGAGTTCCTTCGATTTAGACACTAGAAAAAACTCTAACGCGTTCGTTTTTGGACAACTCCGGAAGAAGTCCTGGGAACGGCACTGAATAACGATCCTAAGCGGCTGAAAGCTCCAGCCTATTACAACGAGGTTGTGTTTGTTTCTCCATTTGCAAAGGTTTGAGAGGCTCACGGCTTTCTCTGTGTTGCCATAGTTGTGCTCGATGATCAGCGAGAACAGGCTCGACGCCTTCCAGACTTATGCGGGGAACAAATCCACTAGCATCCGCCTGCGCAGGTGCATTCGGCAGATCGACGTGCTCTGCTCGGAAATGAGACGAGGATTGGGAGTGAAAGGCGAAGAGGCTATGGTGGATGGAGCTATGACAGGGATGACGTCTCGGACAATGAGGGGATTCACGTTGTCATCGACGACTAGAATCAAGGTTCTTCACTCTCTTGCTTGTCGCTATTCTTCTTTCAGGTCTCTCAAGTCCCTGTTTGTTCCAGGTTCTCGAGGCTGGAACCACGACTAGAATCAAGGTTTTTCACTCTCTTGCTCTTCGCTATTCTCTTTCGAGGCTTAAAGTTCCTGTTTGTTCCAGGTGCTCGAGGCTGGAACCAAGAGAAAAAATAGAAATTTTCGTCCACGGTTCGCTTCCTTGTTCTTCAGTTTTGCGTTTTTAAAGCATTGAGAGGGATTTCTATTTTGCAGCGCTATAAACCCTGTAGTCTCTACATGGATAGTCATACGCGACAGCCATACATGGTGCTCTTCAGTTTATGACAAGTTCTCTTGAGGAAGTGTTGGCAGTCAAGCGCAAAAAAACTGGCTTGGAGGACATGATGGAATACTCTCCTATAACAGTTATGGCTGCTCATATCTGAGGGTTTCATGTCTAACTCTCTCTCGTGTCACTTTGCAGCATTAGGAATGAAACAAGGAGAGCGAGCTCCTTGATTCTTCACTGTCGATAAGTTTCTTTCTCTCAACGACAGCAGTGGCTGGAGAGAGAGAGGAGATTTGGAGTCGGAATCACAGCAGTAGCAGCAGCAGCATCACCAGTGAGAAGATCTCAAGGCCATGATAATCCTCCACCAGTTTGGGATCAGTCACATGTACGTAGCAGCCAGGTGAGAAGGGCAGTGTGAGAGACAGGGACGAAGATCTCACAAGGGACAGGGATGAAGATCTTACAGGGTCCGTCATCACCCACGAGCAGCAGAGATTGATGAGGTCCTGGTTTGCTCTATCACTTTGGAGCCATCTCTGAATGGCAAGTTGAGCTTCAACGTGGTGGCAGTGATCCAGAGCAGCAGCTCTAGAAGTGGTAATGATGACCATGCGTTTCTCTACAGGGACACGGTGCTGTACAAATCCAATTACTATTAGCATCACATGTCTGAGGACAAATTAAGTGAAGTGGTGCCAGATTCAATTGTATTTGTGTTGTAATACTACATTATATATAAGGTTTCTCCTACCCTTGACTGGCTACAAAAAATAGCAAATGTCTTTCCCTCTTTGCTCTAAGTGAGCACTCTGACCAACACACATAACAGTAACATATGTGTTGAGAAGGCCAAGTACAAGCCCACTGCTCAGTTCAAGCTCAAAGTCACCTTGCTTCTCTACATTTATATCAACAGCTCCTCTACATAATCAGGCTGTGTACTCCACATGAACCATGGAGCCTATAGTTGGCCTGTCGCAAGATGTCTCTTCTCCTCTGGTATTCCTGTTGAAGCACTAAACAACAAGTTTACACCATATCACTCACTCACGGTCACTTTCGCAAAAGCTTACTTAAATTCCACGCTTGCGCAGACTCAGAATCATGTAAATATGAGCGCACACTCCCAGTTATGCTCGCTGTCCCAATACAGAATTTTCCTCCTCTTTAGTGCTACTGATATCAGCACATGGAACTGCACACTCACTAAAGAGAATCCATTCACTGCGAAGAGGAACCCACCAAAAAAAATCCCTCCCGTGCTGTTTAGAACTCTCATAGCAGGCCGGAAGATAGGGCTTCACGCATTCTTCCAGGGCTTGAGCATGACGGTAGCATTCTCTGTGGTAGTGCCATTGCTAGGGATTTCAATATAACATGTTCTTGGGACCTAGATCGAGAAGCTTTATGGAACCACTCCACTGGAATCATCTCCACATGGTGGGGTAGCCTCGAGCAGATTGGTATGATGATCCCTATTTGTCTCTGTCTTTCCTGCACATGATGTGGTGGAGAACACAAGGACAACAACAACATTGGCTTCGCATAATGAGCCTCTGGGAAAGTCCTGCAAACAGTTCCATACGGTTCTCAACTATTTGCGGCGTATGGATCACAGATGTGGTGACTCTTGTACTCAGTGTGCTGCCTAACTCTTCACTTATTTCCTCTGGGGATGATCAGAAAGTAATAACTTGAACAATGTTTTCTCTGCTTCTAAATTTCCAGGCACTTCCACTCTTGTATGATCCTGATGATAATGAGAATGTGGATAATGTGGACTTATCACACGAGCACGTACTGTGGCAGACTTTCTCAAGAGAACTAAACTAATACAAGATGCAGATAGGTTCATCAAGAGACTGTCATTCACTTCTTAGTGACTGCTTAGTGCCTATAAAGTTCACGAGGACTTGGAGAGATGATCAAAAGGTGGCGATGGATATGCTTAAGTGTGTGAAGCGTGAACATATGAGTTCTGTGCTTTGTAGGAGCTTCATTATTGCCGAGACTTGAATTCAAACTATCTCTTTATTTTCTATCTAAGTCACATGTATATGCACTGTTAGCACAACTATTATATAGAAACTGAATAAGAGTTTGATGGATGGCTCAAAAGAAGTTAGGTTGATTCAAAAAAGACCTCTCCAAATTTTTGAAGAGATGGAGAATGATAACTCCACAATGGTGAGATGTGATGGTAAGAATTAAGGACTAATGCTTAACATAAACATGAAGTTTACCTATGTATGTATTAAGTTTCTAAGCATAAAAAGTAGCAAGAGGAAGATGGATAAAGACAATAAATTCTACACAACCAACCATGCAAACAAACCGTCAAGTAGGCAAGTAATAATAATAACAAGTAATAAGCAACAATCAAAAGTAAAAGCAAAATAAGTGTTAGATAAAATGCAAAACATCATGGACGAGTTGACAAGAACTTGTCAAGTGAAATGCTGATGAAGCACAAGCAAATGTTCTCGAAAAATCACAAATCATATCACTGATTTTATTATTTCAATACTTATTTACCACACTTATTTCTGTTGCTTGAGCAGTATCTAAAATATATAACTATGAATAAACCAATATTATGATAAAATTGTCCATGTATTTTAAAATAATAAGGGCCACCTACTGCAATCTCTTCAATGTTTGCACCTATTGATGCAAATGCTAATGCACTATTATAATTTCGTGTTAATACACATATAACTTTCTTGACTGCAGGTATTATATTAGAAAATAAATTTAAGTACTTATAAAAATGTATAAATACGAAGTATGAAAGTGTGGATGTACTCTGAACACTTCAACATCACAAATTATACAATCTGCTATTCTTTTCGTGAGTAACCTTTTTTACTTGAACTCTGAAACAAACAGTGAATCTAACTGAAAGAAATACAAGGTTGTTTCTTGTATTTTTTCTCTCAACGCATTATCATATTCTTCTCCTTCACATTTTTTTTCAATGGAAAGCAGACATTGTGATGACAAATATCTTTGGAAAATTGTTTCCAATGTGGAAGCTCTACATGCCGGACTGGCCATTTGAACTCTACATTGATATGTGGGCTAAGATATATCTTCTTTATCTAGCCAGGCATTAGGATAATTCAGGCCAGGGTAGTGAGCTGATTAGCTTTTTTGAAGCTTGATAGTGATGAGGATCTGACAGAGATTCAAGATGCTGCCACAATATGCCAACTTGCCACGGAGAAAAAAAGTGATGTATGCTCTTATCCAAGTTATTAGGGTGACACCATCCAGCCAGCACTATTGCAAGCTAGCATTAGACAATAAGAGTGAGTCACATCTATTTCTTGTTGATCATGTAGATGGAATAGAAAATCTATTTATATTCCACACTTTATGACAATGCATGCATGGGCTTCTGGTTACACAAATTATACTATAAATTCTAAGTTAAGATATTAATAACTTATTCTATAATATTTTAATATCATAAAAATCATGATACTAAAATTTTTTTTTATATATACATTATAATATAGCATGTTATAATATAACAATAATATATTATAATGGCTGGGAAAAATTGCTTTATGCTTGAATGAAAGTGGGCTTTTATTCCATGCATAGACTCAATACAATTTCTGCAAATGAGAAATATAAAAGAGTAACTCCTAATTATTTCTATTTTCTCATTTCTTATAAAAGGTATTAGACTTATTTTTATGCTCATAATATGATTTAAACTTCTTAGCTTTAAACATTATTCAAAAAACTACTCTCTCTATCACTCATATAAAGTTTCACAACTATACCACAAACTATTTAAAACCTTCATTTAAAAATTATTTTAATATCTAAAGGAGTCACTAAAAATTGTGTTTAAAATAATTCAATATTCTTTTGGAATTTTTTTATATTTAGTTTAATCTATATTTTCCAGTGGAGCTGGAATCTCAGCATCATCATAATACTCATATATATTAACACTACATTATTAAAATTAAACATAATTTTGTAATACAAAGATTGCATATAGTAGACACAATAAAAATAATATTTTAACATTAAATTTAAATAAGTACTGGCTATAGAAAATGATATATTTCATAACTTAAAATAGAAAAGCTGGATAGCTCCAGCTATTTTAATTTGTATATTAGTTTTATTTTTCAAATAAACTTATGATACTTATTACACATTTATCAATGAATCTAATCACATTGAGTTTCGGTTAGCTCAGATGTAGTCTAAGATTTGTGCGATATGATAAAGTTCTAATAATTTTTTTAAGACTAATAATTTGTGCATTGATACATGAAAAGCATATAAATAAATATCGTGATGTAAAACTTAAAATATGATTGAGACAACATTAGGCACAATACAAAAACCTACCATCTAAAAAAATGTGATTCATCATCACTTCAAATTTTATTAAATCAATCTATGGACCATTCTTAAATTTTCTGATACTTTATAGTTTTAGAAATACAAATATTATATATCATAAATATCCTAATACCAGAGTAAAACCTTACCTTTAATTGAAAGATTTTAACCTTAACAACATTGTCATAATGCTGTAAATTTAATTAAAATAAGTATAACATAGAGATAATAATCTTAATGCATTCTCCCTATATAAAAACATATACAGAAAGACATTTAATGATATAAAATATAATAATTTAACTTTTAAAGAGTACTTTTAAAAATTATAAATATAAATATTATGAAGGGAGAGGATTTCAAATACATATATACAAAAGATTATAAAATTATAGATTAAAAAATACTATGTAATTAAAGAGAATTTATTTATAAAAAATCAATAAAATAATAAATATTTTGAAAAAACATAAATAATATTTTATTGTAGAATAGAAAGAAAATAGTGTATATATAAAAATGGTATATTATAACTTAAAATACTGGGCTCAATAGTTCTAAC